TCAAGAAATATTTGCAACACATTTGTCTGCCAAATAACTGGTTTCTAGCATATATAAAGATCTCAGCTCAATGATAAAAAAAATTAAAAATGGTGAAAGTATTTTTTTGAATACGTTGTTCACAAAGAGAGGCAAATGGCCAATAGTATACTACCATTAGTCATGAGGGAAATGCAAATTAAAACCAAAATGAAATAATCCTACCCATCTATCAGCATGACCAAAATTTAAAAGATTGACAATCCTAAATAAGGCCTATTTTGGACAATTGGATGGATCTACTGGAATAAATATTTTGTTGGACATATAAAAGTATACTTCCATTTTGGAAAAAGATCTTTCAACTTCTTACACAGCTGAACTTACACCTTCTATAAGGCCCAGAAAGTATACACACATCCACAAAAACATTTGTACGAGAGCATTCTAATTACTGACACATCCAAATACAACAGTATGGATAAATCTCAAAAATATTATGCTGAATTAATTAAACTTAAAGAGTTCAGGGAGCAGCAGATGATGTAATGGTTACATCACTGGACTCCTCCATAGGTTTGAGTCTCAGACCAGGCAGCTTAAAACTCACGCTGGGCACATTCCTGTGCATGTTCCAGATCCTGAGGTGAAGGGATTGCAAAGTGGCCATCCTTCCAGGAGGGCGATTTCTCACTCTCTGTCTATCTCATGGCAAGCACAAACTCTCTATAGCAAAAATCTCTCTTAAAAAAAAATAAGAAAGAGTTCATATTCTACAATTACACTTAAGTTCCAGCAGGAAGAACTAAGTTTGGTAAAAACAAGAATCTGGGATTTGGGCTGATGGAGGAGTATGAGGGAACTTTCAAGAGTGATGACAGTGTTCTGTATTTTAGTAGAGATTTGGATTACAAAGGTGTACACATTTGTTAAAACTCAATGAATAGTAAGATAAAGTGTCTGTATATCTGCATTCTAAAAGTTTCTATAAGCAAATAATGAGTTCTTGTCAGTGATATGGATGCCGAAGTGCTTAGGAGTGGGGTCTAACTCTTGACAAGTATTGACTTTCTTAAAAATTGGTATGTTGGTATCAGAGGTGGGTTAAGAAGAATCATTCCTAAGGGTTGTGCCTGAGTGGAATTGTTCTGACTCTATTCATTGTAGGAAAGTTTTCTTCAACTTTTTGATAACACTTTCCATGTTGCTGGATCCTTATTTCTCATTTTGTAATCCTGTAATTTGCAGGATGATTTTTGTTTCCTAAACGAGTAGGATTTTGTATTGTTTTACGTGTATATGTGGCCACAGGTTGTTTTGTTTGTTTCATTGCTTTGGTATTACTGATTCTTTGCTCTTTTCTCACTTTTTTTAAAAATGTTTTTTACATTATTTACAAGTTTAAGCATGATCTCTCCATATTATAGCATAGTTCTAACAGTTATTTTATTTCTAAAGGCAGTGAATATAAACGTCTCTGGTTATTTTAGAGGATAGCTACACAGCATTTTGTTTTCTTGGTCTTATGACCTTACTTTTCTTATATTAATAATATAGTACTTTTTTTTTTAAAGAATTACTTCATTTACCTTTATTTATTTATTTATTCATTCATTCATTCATTCAAAATGACCAGAGAGGGAAAG